GCGGAAAGAGTTTCACGAATAAACTCCACCTACAGATCCATATGAAGATGCACTCGCGTGTGACCCACCGGTGCGATCGCGAGGGCTGTTCGCAAGTGTTCTCCTCTGCCGGCCATCTTCGGTGGCATCTATCGGGCCATCACTTGAAGTACCGGTGCGATCGACGCGACTGCGGGTACGCCACGAACGTCGAGTCGGTATTCCAGTTGCACTTAACTGAACACCATTCGGACGATAACTACGGTAACCAGAGTTTAGTCGGAAGTCATGCAAATGATGGGAGGATTACGTACGCGTCCATTGAGTGCCATAAATCAGTTGGTGATAGCGAGGGGAGTGCGCAGTCATCGCAGAGTCAGTCGACAGCACCGGGCGGTAGCGTTGATTGATTGGTTTGAGTGCACAGAGAATGGCTGTTCATTTCGGACCCGATTTAGGTTTCATTTGAATAGACATCTGACGGAAATGTGAAGATATGAGAGAAAGTTAATAATTAATATGTTTTTTATAAAGTAATTATAAGCGATTAATATCCTATTAATAAGTAATAGTTAATTAATTCATTTACAATGAATAGTCACATGTTTTGTAAAACTCATTGCGAGTCTAATTAGAGTTATTGTTTAGTTTAAATTTCGCAAATTTTCTAAAAGTGATTTAATATAGCAATTATTTTTTGTATTTTTTGTATGTGAACTTATATAATCAAATGTATGAACTTATTTTGAAAAAAATTAAACACCGTTTTTGTATTTATAAACTAGAAATTTGAATTATACTGTAATCACGTTTTAATCATTTTTACTCAAATATTGCGCCAAATGTTTGAATACATATATAACGTTTAGGTTTTTGCGATAGATGTGTACCCTTGGTTATAAAATGCATGGTTTTCAATAGGATGTTTAACTTACCCTGATTACGTAATTTGTGTTTTATATAAAATAAGTTTCAACCGATTTATTGTGTTTATGTTTTTTTGCCCACATTTGACACAACAGTTTAGTTTTTGCTATTAATTTATGATTTAATTACTAATCAATAGTTTATTTAATGATTTAATCGCCAAATAGTGGTTGAAATGGATGAGACATACGAGACATACGAGTCGATGGCAGACATGAGTCGCCGGGAGTTGTATTCAGTGGTCAACGCATTGAAGAGAGAAAACAATTGTTTGAAAACAGATTTACAGACATTTGCTGTCATTTCGCGGAAATGCAGACAATATTTACGGGATTTGCAAAACAGTGGACACATTGACAGTCACGTGACTCAAGAGATACTGGATTTGATTGATATGAACGCACAGAAGACTGTCGTCGCTGTCGACGCACTCAATGGTAAGCCAATGGCAATGGCTTTCAATTCATTTCACTTTTCCTTTTCATTATCTATTCATTAGTTTCGCTAAGAATGGGACTCAAGAAGAATATCGTGTGGATCGACAGTCAACTCATTGGAGTCGATAGACAGCCGAAGAGCGAAGTGTTTACTGATAGGGAAGACACCGACAGCGATGGCCACCAATCGGACGACTTTGACGTCAACTACGGAAGCGCTGATGAATGCGAGGACACGGCTGTGAGACCTCGAAGTGTGGGCACAAGTGGTTACGGATTGCGACCAAAGTGTCC